TGTGAATTCCTCCTTGCCTCCCCCCAACAAAAAAATCCTAAGTGGTAATTTTGAGTGAAATTGAGTTAAAACCTGTAATTTCCTTTAGAAAAGACTGACGTCTTTGCACCATGTATTTAGTCTTCCGTCCAGGAATGTGAGACATACCTTCCCTTATTCAAGTTTTCTTTTATGTCTTCTGTAAAGCTGCGCCATTTCTTGGCATGAGTCTGATATTCCTTGTTCAGGGTGCTATGTTGTGCGTCTTGCTGCTGATCTGGATGTGATCTTTTTTTGCATGTTAGTTTCCAAAGGGTACTTCTGGTACATGGTTTTGCTTGTTGACTGGAGACGTAGAACCAGGGACTTGAACTCCCAAAGCCTGCCCACGGCTGCATGAGGCGACATCCTGCGCTCTGCCTCACCTCAGGGTGTCCTTCCCAGGGGCTACCGTGGATATGTCCAGCTCTTGAGTGGCCATTCCCCCACGAGAGCCACCTAGGCAGACTGGTACATATTTCAACACCAACTAGGTCAGGAGATCAGGTCTGCTGATGCAGAGGGTCTGGGTTGGCAGATCCTCCTCGCACAGGCAGGAACACCAGCCCTCAGGAGCTTCTGCTGAGGGCACCTGCTCACAGCTCAAGCATCAGACTCAACCAGGTTTGGAAAAAGTCTAGTTTATTGCACTGTCTCAAAGCACAACTAAAAATTAAAACCAGAAAGAAAACGGTACAAAGCACTGAAGCTAAAAGTAGTGTAAAAGTCTCACCTAGACTCGGGTTTAATCGCACTACAACCCCATGGGTTAGGGGAGCTTTGCCTTCTGAGGGGCCGGGCAAGGCACAACATACACGGAGGGAGAGCGGCCCTGCCTGGGGCTGCCTCTGCTGTCACCCAACTTTTACAAAAAGGACTCCATAAAAGTGCAGTGTGAAGTAAGACCTGGGGTTTCAGCATCGTGTCCTCATTCAGACCTGGAAAACCTCCATCTTCATGGCTGGCGGGGTCCCGTCAGAGAACATAGTTTATCTCTCTTCACCTGTGGCCTGGGGGTGCCCTGACACACTTGCTTAGTAGAAAACAGGCATCGGATAACTAGGCCTGGGCCAGAGGCAGGCTAAAAAAAGCAGCTAGCCTGGAGTCCGGCCTTGGAGCTGCCTCCAGGACGGAGAGGGCAGTGGCTCAGGGCAGGACACGTGGCTGGGCGGCCTGGTGCTGGAGCTCAGATGCCATTAGAGAGTGGCACTGGCTGACCCCAAGGACTATCCACAGCAGGCACTGGCTTCCACCTGCTGCGGCCCGCCCAGCCCTCCGAAGCTGCAGGTGAGGACAGACAGGCTCAGGGTAAACCCCAGGAAGGAGCAAAAGGCCTTCCACTATTTTCAGAAAATACATTTCTCTTCTAAATTTGTAAGATTTGACTTCAAATGAGGTATCTTATGAAGATTTGTAATACAATAAACAAAAAAGGCAATAATCAGGAGGTTCATCCTCTGAGGATGCCTCTGGTTTTGTGACGTCCACCAGCAGCATTAGTTCATATCCCCCCGACATTTCTAAGTGAGCTACCGTGGCTAAGCCCCATGCGTGGCCAGCACCCTCCTGTGCCGTCCTGCCTTGGACACATGTGCATGCTGCCATGTTCCATGTGCATCCACTTGCCTTTACTGTTTTGGCTGAAGCGTGTCCTCCAGGAGGTAAGCAGCCCGCCCTGTGTGTGGGCGGCAGGGGCCTGGTGTGTGCGTGTGTGTGTGCATGTGTGTGCGCATGTGCTCCCCATCGCGACACAGCCCAGCGCTCAACTTCTCATGCACAGCCCTGGGGTCCCATGTGGAGTGTCCAGCTTGGAATGTGCACTGGAATGTGCATCTCAGGGGAGGGAGTGCGATGGAGACACTGAGCATGTCCAGTGGTGGGGAGCCTGAGCGGGGGCTGCTACCATGGCAACAGCGCTTGTGCTGGTCGCCCGCAGAGCTCACGGGTGTGCCACTGCTCCTGCTCTGACTCAGCCTGCCCACGGAGGCTCCTTGCAGCATCTCCCACCAGTGGACCCGCAGCTGCTGGTAAGGGCATGCCCTCAGCACTTGGGGACGGTAGCACATGCAATGCGGCAGGGCCACTGTCCCCTCTGGAGCTGGCCTCGCTAGAGCTCAAAGGCACTGCTGCTACAGCAACAGCTCCAGTCACTCGGCTGAGGCTGTGGGTTCTGGACAAGACAGAAACAAACATGGGTGAAAGCAAGTGGGGGGTGTCCAACCTTGACAGACACACCTGGACAAGGGTCAGTGAGGCATGTCCACAAGCGAGCAACTCGGAAACCAACTGTGTCCATACAGAAGCCTGGCCTCCTCCCCTTCAGCGACTCTGTCCCCAGGCTCCTTCAGATGACCTCCCACTCGTCCTCCAGGTCCTCGGGGTGGGGGGTGGCGGCCTGGCTGCTCTTCTGGGCACTGTGTAAGTGGCTGAACGTCTTTGTCAGCCGCTGGAGGAGGTAGCCGGGTGGGCCCACTGCCCAGAGCTCATCTGACGAGGTCACTGCAGGGACAACAGCCAATCACACATTGTGAATCATGCAGCCCGGGGGACAGGCACAAATGGAGCCAGGAGCCTGGGTCCAGGTCTGGACTTGGCCACGTTCTAGCTGTGGGGCCTTAGACCAGCTACTTCCCCAATCAGTACTTTGTTCCCTCAACTTTAAAGGGGTGGCACAGCCCCATCCTTGTCCTAGGAGACTCCGGCAGAGCCTGGGTCCCCTCTGCCAGTTCCTGACAGAGTTCCCCTGAGACAAGTTCCTGCAGGAATGGCCTTGCCCTCGGCTCTCACTCTGGAACAGAGGAGCCCAGTGCAGCAGCCTCTTCAAGAGACCCCTCTGACATGGTCTCCAGGAACCTTGAGAATCCCAAGGGGATACTGCAGCCCCAAGCCCACCAAGCCCCGGGCACCTGCCTGTGACACATGACACATTTCCAGGAATTTTCTTCCAGTAGTCTCCAGCAGGGTTTTTGTCTGTGATGCCATATCGTCGGGCAACATCACCATTTGGACAGCGGGCCCACACGGTCCTGGTGCTCAGTGCCAGCTGGCAGGCCTGTAGACCTGCAGGCGAACAGGGTGTCCCTCCTCAGCACCCAGCTGCGGACGGGATGGATCCCCATCGTGGGGCCCACTCTCCCGACACTGCACGCATCGCCCGGGGCTCCCTGTGGTGACAGAGCACCCTGCACTGGCTGGGCTCGGAGTGGAAGCCCAGGGAAAGGATGCTCTGTCGGCAGGACTAGCAAAGCTGCCAAGAGCCTGAAGCCAAAGGACGAAGGGTCCAGGCACTGTGAAAACTGTCATTCCACCAAAGCACAAGTCAGATGCCTGGGTTCACTCAACAAGGAACACTTACTAGACATTTGTCTGTCACCTGCCTCAATAGAACAACAGAAAGGAAATACCCAGCACAAAGCTGTGGCTGCTGGGTGGAAAGCGCTGATCCACAGACAGTGGGGCAATGTCGGGGGAGTTCAGGATGGCCCCACGCGACTGCAGCAGTGGCTGCCTGGCTCGCAGGCTGTGGCTGACAATCTCATTGGCTGACGAGCCCAGCTGTGCGAGGGGACGGTGGTGAATGTCCACCTGCTGGTTCCTACCTGGCACATGCTCCCAGTCCGTCCCTACGGGCATCTCCTCGGTGATCCCAGCCCGGACGTGCACGTTCCATCTGCTGTCGAGCGCCCACAGCATCTGGTCGTTGGGGCTGGCATGGACGCTGACTAAGGTGACCCCGGCAGGCTGGAAGCAGGAAGGGACTTTTCTCAGGGAAGGAAGGGATAAGAGGAAGGTCTGGAGGTTTGGGGACCTGAGAATGTGTCATGTGACCTTGCATGGCAGCACACAGCCTGATGTGGGGACACGAGTGGCAGGGCAGGCGTGGGCACCGTGGAAAGCAGAATGGACACGGTCCTGCCCTCGGCTGCAGTCTCACAAGGAAGAAAGACGCTCACCAAGTCATCCTCGGACTGTCAGACAAACCAGATGGAAGGACAGCCCACCAGACCAGCAGCGCAAACATCAGCCGAACACAAAGGGGCAGAGACGGTCCAGATTAAAGGCGAATGAAGAGATGCAAGAAGAAACACAAGGTGGGACCTTGGGCTACAAGGACAGTAAAGGGTCACATAGGTGTCCAGGCCTGGGCCTGAGGGTGGCACGGGGTGCTCTACAGTAAGCACTGAACTGCTGAGGCCAGTGCTCCTGTCCCTGCCTCTGCCGTCCTCACTCACGCTAAAGCCCACCCAGAGGCAGCCACGCAGCCTGGCCAGGCCCACCCTGAGCCTGACACCCAACAGGAGGCCTCCTCAGGCTCAGACGGCCTCCTCTGTGCCGCTGGGCAGGTGACGTCCCCTGCTGCCCAGGCTGTGGGAGACGGAAGTGATGAAAGCCAGCAGGGAGCCAGCCTCCCAGGGGGCACAATGCTGGCCCCCCACCCTCTCCTCAGGCAGCCTCTGTCCACACTGCCCACCTCTTCATCCCTTGTCCACTTTTCACAGGACAAGAGTAAGTCCCTTTAATGTCCCATTTGCTGTCCACTGACCAGCTCCAGTTCGTCCCCAGGCTGCCCACCCCTTAGCCAGATGAGGCCTGTGTGCCTGCGTGGGCAGAGTTGTTTGGAGAGTCCGAGCCTCTGGTCACCAGTGGTGCTGGCGAGTGACTGCAGCCCTGAGGGTCTGGCTGTCCATCCAGTGCCCAATGCTGCCTGCTTTTCTGTACCTCAGAGTCATCCTTGTTGCATCCGTGGACCCTGAGAGGGAGCTGGTCAGTCCCACAGTTGCTCACTACACAGCATTTGCCAGTGTCTGCAGGCCCCAGGCACAGAAGCTGTGGTGAGTAGGGTGGCCACCAGCACTAGAGTGGGGACAGGAAACTCGAGCTGACTGCAGATAACGAGAGGTGCTATCAAGAAAGGAAACAGTGCCTGGGAGTGGTGGAGGTGGGTGGTTGGTGAGGAGCAGGCACTGGGGTTGAGGCCTGAGGGACACAGGGCAGGTAACGGCCAAGGGGTGGTGAGAGATGGCCAGGAAGGAGAGTGGAGCTCATACTACGAGCTCTTAGTGGCCATGATGCCAAACCAGCCCCTGTGGAGGGCCAGACAGCTGAGATGCCGTAGAGGCCTGGCACACCCCTGGATGGCGGGTGTTGGCATAAACCAGCACTGGAAGCCCTGCGCCACCTTCAAGCACCAACCCCCAGCTGCACTAGCAAGTTCAAAGGGGGCACTGAATACACCACAGAAGTCACCGCAGCCTCCGCCCGGTCTGGGACGGCAGGCAGGGCCACAGGTGGGCCAGGGGCTGATTCCTCAGGGGCCACCCAGAGCTCACTGGGCCTCCCACTCCTGGCTCTAGGTGCTGGCTGTACCAGAATCAGGTGTGTCTGGTCATTTATTTATGTTTGCCACCTTCCCCTGAGCAGCAAAGACACCCGTTTAGCTTTGTTAATCTACACCTTTGGCCACAGGACCCCACGTTTACACATTACACCCATCTCCGTCGGGTGGATGTGGGATTAAGAGGCATGGATTTTGGAGAGGGCTGCTGCCAGGGCTCTGGGCACGCCCTGGGGGTAGAAACAATGAGAATCACTGGACTTCAAAGCAAATGACTTCATCATCTTCCTTCAAACCTTCAAACCAGTCTCCTTCAGGTCTCAGACTAGTTCCCAGTGGGAAACAGTGCAGGATCCTGGAAGCAAAGAATTCTCAGTGTGTTTACTTAAAATAAGCAACAGATTCTGCCTGTTGGTTGACAAATGGCCACACTGTGCTCTGTTCTTATCACCATGACTTGATTCATTACCAGCCTCAGTGTACCTTTGCTGTATTTATTTTATGAACTCAGATTTTTTTTGGCGGCTGGCCGGCACAGGGATCCGAACCCTTGACCTTGGTGTTGCAATACCGTGCTCTCATCAACTGAGCTACCCAGCCAGCCCCCAGATTTTTTTAAAAACTGTCATCTCTGGATTTGCTTTTCTGTTCACTAACTACTGTTTATTTTTTTGGAAAACATCAACGTAAGTGCCTCCACTAAAATAGTGTGTATTCTTCTTGGGCCTTTCTCTGAAGGCAAAAGAGAACACTGATCCGAGCCTGGTGCCCTCTGGTTTTTTAGCTGTGCCAAGTGTGAGAGGGGCTCACTCTTCCTTCCAGTCTGTACCAGAAAGTCTGGGGCTAAATAAACCCCCTATTAATCAGACAAAAGCCAGACACACCCAGAGGCTTTCAGACAGAGCAGGCATCACTCGGGGCCACAATGTGTGATTCCACTTATATGAAACGTCCAGAAGAAGAAACTCCATGGACAGAGAAAGCAGATTAGTGTTTGCCCAGGGCTTGGGGAGGGGAGAACGGGAAGTGATTGCTAATGGGAGGGGGTTTCCTTTTGGGATGCTGAGAATGTTCTGGAACTAGATGGTGATGATGGGTGTACAATATTGTGAATGGACTAAATGTCACTAGTGGCAAATTTTATGTTATGTGTATTCAACCACAATTTTTTAAAAAAGAAAGAAAAAGTAGACAAGCCTTGCTTGTGGCAGTGTGCTATAGTTTGCAGTTACCATTGGGGAAGAGCACTTGGGATATGTTTCTGTTATTTCTTATAAATGCATGTGAATCTATAGTTTTTCAAAGGGGGTTGTAAAAAACAATCACTTCATTCAAAAGTTGTAGAAATGGAGTATATCTCTTTAAGAAATGAAGGTCTAGGCCGGCCGTGGCTCACTCGGGAGAGTACGGTGCTGATAACACCAAGGCCACAGGTTCGGATCCCACATAGGGATGGCCGGTTCGCTCACTGGCTGAGCGTGGTGCTGACAACACCAAGTCAAGGGTTAAGATCCCCTTACTGGTCATCTTTAAAAAAAAAAAAAAAAAAAGAAATGAAGGTCTAAGAAGAAAGTGGCACTTCACATTGTTGGTATGTCAGTGCAGGTCAGGAGGAAAACATGCTGTGATAAACTCGTCTCTGATACCAGGAGGAAGTTCCAGTCCAAGCTTGAGTGCGCTCCTGTGTTCTCACTAATGCTTCTTTTACTGCTGCTCTTCGTTCTTTTCCACGTTTCCTATTAGAGTATTGGTGCTGCCTTTAAAACTTCACTAGCAGCAGCAAATCCAGTGTTCACTGATTCCTCCTCAAAAGGCCCTCTAACCCATCACACGGCCCAGCAGTTTTATTCTCATGAATACTCTAGCCAGAAAAAACTCGATAAGACACACGCGAATCCAATGAACAGAAAAAGAAATCTACTAAATTCTGGAAGATTTGGTGCACCGAATCCATCCAGGATTATGAAACGTAAGCCTCCACTGTAAACAGGAAGCTGGATACGAGCCCTTCCAAAATATACTGTCCGTTCACTCTGTAGGCCAAGAAAGCTACTGGCCTCTGAGGCCATGTTTCTCAGTCACGGAGCCAACACTTGGGGGTTCAACAACAACATCACATAACTTATTCCTCCAGTGGTGAGGAAGTAAGACACCACCACGAGAGCGAACACCATCATGGCGTGTGCACCCAGGGAGGCTTCTTCAGCTTCAGGTTAGGACATTCGAGCTCTAAGAACGGGACTCGTACAGTCTCTTCACACTGGTGGCCACAGGGCCAGCTCTTGGCCTCCTGAATCTACAACTATCTCAATAAAAATTTCATTTAAGAAAGTAGACAGCCTAAAATTTTGGCTTATTCATATTCAAAACTTCACAAAAATGAAAAAGTAAATGAAGATTGTAACTTGTAAAATGGATTCAAAAAGGAATTTTAAGATTTAAAACTAATTTGGAAATTTAAAAACTTATGTATAGTCTTGGCGAGCTTACAGGGGTAGGAGGATGCGTGTGAGAGTGTGTGTGTGTATCACACGTGTGCACAAGCAGGCATGTGCTTGTTTTTAAGTGCTCTTTAAAGACAGGTACAAGGTGGGTGATGGGGAGGGACCGTGCTCCCTTTCTGGGAGTGCTCAGTGATTTAATGACAGCCATCCGACATGCTTGGATATTTACAGATCAAAGGTGCCGCTCCTGGCTGTAAAGTTCCCCTTAAACAAGGAAGACTGCATGGGGTAAGAACAGGCTGCTGTCCCATGTTCTCACAGGTAAGCGCTCCAGGATCATTACTAATTATTATGGCAAGTGAGACTGCATTTTCTTTATTCCAAGCCACCAGCATTACAGGAGAAGCTATTCCTCTTCTCCATTACCACAAGACTCTCTAGGAAGAATTTATTGAGATTGTGACTACACATAAAGTTCAAGTTAAGGGGTGAAGTTTTCCCACGACAGACTGTTACTACCAAACTGCAGAGAAGGCCCCCTGCCGTGTACACCCACCTGCTCTGGGGCCCATGTGATCATTCTCAGGTTTAAGGGATTCATCTCAGTGGTGAGGTGCAGTGAAGATACCGCTTCATTTAGATAACATGAGCTACAAACATGACAGGTTCTGTTCCTGCAATCACGGCAACTTGTTTTTCAGTTATATGCAGCCCTTGTCAGCTCTGACGTCAATGTTTTCATCTAGTATATTCCCCCAAGAAGAATCCCGTCTGACTGCAGCACTAGATTAGTATGGTAAGACCAGACACTCCTTGGAGGATCTGCTCAGTTAACTACAGTACTGCAAAGACTCTCCAGCCGAGCTTCCCGCTGCCTCTTACTGCGGGATGCACATGGGCCCCTTCCCTAGTGGGAAAGTGCACGATGCTGAAGTCCCAGCACCACTCACCCAGCGGTTTTC